AAGAACTTTTTTCAAACTTTAAATGAAAAGAAAGGGAGTGTTTCTACAATTGCTCATGATAAAATTTTGATAGTAGGCTCAGACATAGCTTTACTTACTCTTCCTAAGGGTACCGAATTAATTATTAACGATGCGCTTTTGTACCCTGAATCACAAAGAACACTCCTTAGTTTTAAAGATATTCGATCTAATGGTTTTCATCTTGAAACTAAGACTGAAAACAATATAGAGTATCTTCTAATGACTCATTCACAAAGAAGTCAAAAGAAAATTGGAGAAAAACTTCCCTCTTTCTCCTCAGGCTTGTACCATACTTTCATTCGACCTTCTATTAATCATGTTGTATTGTGCTTAAAATTTAAAGACCCAAATTTATTTAAATTATGGCATGAGCGATTGGGTCATCCTGGGCTTAGTATGATGTGTCGGATTCTTTCTACCTCTATTGGGCATACTGTATCAAGCAACAATCGCCCTTCTTTCAATGAATTTATTTGTGATGCTTGTGCAAAGGGAAAATTAATATTACGACCTTCACGTACTAAAGTTGGAATTGAATCTCCTATGTTCCTCCATAGGATTCAAGGTGATATATATGGTCCTATTCATCCCACTTCTGGACCTTTTCGATATTTTATGGTATTAATAAATGCTTCCACTCGATGAACATATGTGTGTTTATTATCCACTAGAAATCAAGCTTTTCCAAAGCTCCTTGCTAAAATTATTGAATTAAGAGCTCAATTTCCAGATTATCAAATTTAAACTATTAGAATGGATAATGCCGGTGAATTTACATCGAGAGCTTTTGATGATTACTGTATATCACTGGGCATCAAGTGGAGCATCTGGTACCTTATGTCCACACACAAAATGGTCTAGCCGGATCACTCATTAAGCGCATCAAATTAATTGCTAGACCATTGTTACAAAATTCTAACTTACCAATTTCATGTTGGGGACATGCAATTTTACATGCTGCTGCCCTAATTCAAATCCGACCTACTGCATATCATGATTACTCCCCTATACAACTAGTGCGTGGTAAAGAACCTAACATTTCCCACCTGCGAGTATTTGGTTGTGCAGTTTATGTTCCCATATCACCACCACGGCGTACCTCTATGAGCCCTCATAGAAAACTAGGTATATATATTGGCTATGAGTCTCCGTCTATTCTCAAATACCTAGAGATCATGACTGGGGATCAATTTACAGCTCGGTATGCTGACTGCATATTCGATGAAGAGAATTTTCCGGCATTAGGGGGAGATAAAAGCCCAAACTCAAACAAATGCAGAGAAATTTCTTGGAATGTAGAAAATCTACAATATCTAGATCCACGTACTAATCAAACTGAACTTGAAGTTCAAAATATAATTAATTTGCAATATTTAGTAAATAATTTGCCAGATGCATTTACTGATCATAAATGAGTGACCAAATCACATGTACCGTCTATAAATGCACCACAACGAGTGGAGGTCCCCATGAGAACTAATATTCCTACAGATGCTCCACGCCAGAAGCGTGGTAGACCCATTGATGCAAAAGACAATAATCCGCGGAAAACGAAATCTAATAAGAATATTGAATCACTCCCGAAATCTCCAGAAGAGAATCGTCCAGAAGGCAAAAATCCTAGTTTAAATGCACGTGCAACAAATAATAAAAATACTAGGATTGCGGAACATCCAGATCAAAATATATTGGGAAATGATGAAGATCTGGTTGATGTGAATATTGAATTAGCTACGAATTTTGTTGATACAGGAGAAACTTATAGTAGAAGTAACATAGTCGTCGGCGACACATTTTCCTCTATAGTTACTTTTACCATCTCCAATAATCTGGATCCAGAACCAAAATCAATTGTAGAGTGCCGAAAGCGCTCCGATTGGGTAAGATGGAAAGAGGCAATTGAGGCTGAACTAGACTCGCTAAATAAACGAAAAGTTTTTGGCTCTGTTGCGCGTACACCTCAAAATGTTATCCCAGTAGGATATAAATGGGTGTTCGTGCGAAAGAGAAATGAAAATAATGATGTGCGAGATACAAAGCGAGATTAGTTGCTCAAGGGTTTTCGCAGAGACCCGTATTGATTTTGATCAAACATATTCTCCTGTAATGGATGGAATAACGTTCCGCTATTTGATATCTCTAGCAGTAACTATGAATTCAGATATGCAGTTAATGGATGTCGTGACCGCATATTTATATGGGTCATTAGACACAAATATATATATATGAAAATCCCTGAAGGATTAAAGGTTCCCGACATAAGGGAAAATGAAACGCGCAACATGTATAACATTAAATTACAAAAGTCATTATATGGCTTAAAGCAGTCGGGTAGAATGTGGTACAACCGGCTGAGTGAGTTTTTGTTGAAAAATAATTACGTGAATAACGATGTGTTCCCCTGTGTGTTTATAAAGAGGTCAACGAATGGTTTTTGCATCATTTCAGTTTATGTCGATGACATAAATATAATTGACACACGAGAGAAGTTTGATAAAGCTAGCTCATGCCTAAAGACGGAGTTTGAAATGAAAGATTTTGGGTAAAACCAAATTAATATTGTCTCGGCCTGCAGATCGAGCATCTCCCTGAAGGAATATTTGTACACCAGTCAACCTACTTGATGAAGGTTTTAGAAAAATTCTACATGGATAAATCTCATCCACTTAGCACACCAATGGTTGTCCGGTCCCTTGAAGCGGATAAGGACCCATTTAGACCTAAAGAAGATGCCGAAGGAAATTTAGGACCAGAAGTTCCTTACTTGAGCGCCACTGGCGCGTTACTTTATCTTGCAAATTGCACCAGGCCTGATATTGCATTTGCAGTAAACTTGCTAGCAAGGTTTAGTGCTTCTCCTACGGGGAGACACTTGAATGGTATTAAACATATTTTTAGGCATATCCAAGGTTCACAAGATCTTGGTTTACTTTATAAGAAAAATCAAGATATGACATTGGTGGGCTATACAGATGCTGGTTATATGTCTGATCCCTATAATGCTAGATCACATACTGATTATGTTTTTCTTTGTGGTGGTACTGCAATCTCTTGGAAGTCGGTCAAGCAGTCCATGGTTACTACATCTTCAAACCATTCAGAAATAATTGCTTTATACGAGACTTCACGCGAATGTATATGGTTAAGATCTTTAATCTAACATATTCGTGGATCATGTGGAATTACAAATGATATAACCCCCACTGTCCTTTATGAGGACAATGCAGCTTGTGTTTTACAAATGAGTAGTGAGTATGTCAAAGGAAACATGACAAAACACATTGCTTCAAAATTCTTTTACCCACACGAGCTCCAGAAGAGCGGTGAGATTATTGTACAAATGGTAAGGTCTAGCGAGAACTTGACAGACCTATTCACCAAATCCCTTCAAACATCTACTTTTGAAAAATATATTTATGGTATTGGTATGCGTAAACTGGAAAGACTATTGTCTTCAGGGGGATGGAAAAACTCAAAATAATATCGAAGATTAGGTTTTGAAGACCAAATGATGTACTCTTTTTTCCTTTAACTAAATTTTCCCCAATGGGTTTATTAGTTAAAGGTTTTTAACGAGGCAACTAGTAAAACACATGAATTTTTATAAACCATGTACTATTTTTCCCTTGGTTAATTTTTTTTCCTCTGTCGGGTTTTTATTAGCAAGGTTTTTAATGAGACATGTAGTAATGTCCAAGGGGGAGTATTATAAATATATTAATATGGACATTACTAATATATAATTGGGCCTGAAGTTCATTAGTTAGAAAATTAGGTTTTAGGGTTTCTCTCTTGTAAACCCTATAAAAGGATGATATACCGATGAATAAAAACACACTTTTCTGTCTTATGCTTGGATTGATGGATGCTTATTGAAGATTAAGAATTCCAATTTACAACAATATTGATAAATAATAAAAGTTGATATAAAAGAGAATAAGTATGTACTTTTAGGTTTGAAAATGAATATATATGTTTTTATGTTTGAAAATGAATTAAATAGTTGGAGTGGTTGGTGTGACAAGTATTGTAAATATAAAATTTGGGAATGCGGGTTTGGATGAGGAGATCGCTTGAATTAGCGTGGAACTAGCAAATGGTACAAATTCGGTGTTCCTGCTTCCTACTCCCTACTGCCTACTCGTCTTCGATTATCTTCTCGAGGCTTTTTGAGTTTTGACAAGG